GGGCTCCGCTGGTGCCGGCAGCCGCGGCCTGTCCCCGAGCAGGCGGTGCGGGCCTGGGGAGGCCTCTCGGCGCTGGCCTGGGCCGCGTGGCCCCGTTGCCGAGGGCAGGTTCTGACCCTCCCTGTCACCTCTGGCAGGTTCCCTGAGCCCGGCGCAGCGTTTCCAGGAGGCCATGGAGCGGCACGTTCACCCGCTGCCCGAGGAGATTCGAAAGGTATGGAACGGTGGAAGTACACAAACCAAACCGTTTAGAGACCAGAAGCTGCAGTAATTTAGAGGTATTTCACTGACCTTTAAACACTGGTAGATATCTGGTACACATTGGTCTTGGTGTTAGATTGGGTCTGTTCTGAGTTTTGTCGCTATATATGAAGTGTCATTACACACTAATCCTATAGGAACACTGTAGAGGAGCACATTTAGTTAATGGTGTTACCGCTGCCAGGTGACTTTCAAATTTTCCCCCACGCAGCACGTTTTGTTGCTGTAAATTTGGAAAGACTGCAGAGCATAATGTGTAATTGTTCCTAAGCAGTGTCAATACAAATAGGAACAGAACATTCCCCTTCATCAGTTCTTGTATCTTCTCCTGGTGTGTGAGGCTGTTGTTTTGTTTGGGAGACAAGTTATTACCAAAGTAACAATGGTGCTGTTTATATGGGTTAACTTTTGGGGAGGCTCTTTGGTGATGCGCACAAGTGGAACACGAGTCACGTTTTGTATCATTATGAAGTTTTTGGCAGTGAAACACCCCGCTGTCCTCAGTTTTTGGTATGCATCTAATAATCAACAAGTAATTTAAAAGTTTTATGTGCTTAGGCTAGCACAGCCTGGAGAAATTCTCCCTGGAATAGTCCAGGAAGTTGTTGAGACAATTTTTGAGCCATCAGTGATGATTTCTGAGAATTCAAGAATGGGTAAAATAGCCAAAGGAAGGGAAAAGGAATACTTGCCCTTAAAGAAGGGGTGGGGAAGGGCCTGGGAAATGTGCAGGCTCATTACCAGCTGTTTTCGTAGCAGGGAAGATACCAGATACCGTTGTTTATTTAGAAATTGTTTCTCAAGCATCAACAGGAAAAGGTGGTTAGCAAAAATGCATGCAAGTTTCTCAGCAAAACAGTTGTGCCAGATTGTTGGATGAAGTACATGAGGGAATTGTTCTGGATCTAGTACTGCTCAGTATTTCCATTAATGACTTAAGGCTGTAGTTTGGTGGCACTTGAGCTGCCTCTCACTTGGATCAGTTCCCCATGTTGTTCCTGATCCATGTGCTATGCATATGCTCGAACGAGGAGGGAGCAGGTGTGAGTGCAGGCACAAACTGGGAACGCAAAGGGGGTGACGTTACTTCTTTCAGTAGGAGTGTTGATGGGTGCTGTTTTTCATTGAGCTAGGATTTTAGATTACAAGAAGGAATACACTGATGCCAGTCTGGGAGGGGTTGTGAGCACTCTGGGAACAGCATTAAGCTTTATATTCTTAGTAAGAATAAGGCGTATTTAAAAAGAGAAAGTCCAGTACATTAATACAAAATACACAGTAACTGATAAGGCTTCCTTGGCAAACCTAACACTGAGGTCTGTAATCAGGCCATAAGCAGAATAATACTAACAAAGTGACGTTGCAAAGAAAGCAAGTATTAAATGTGTTAGTATAGGAATTGCACGTGAAAAGGGCCTTTATTCCTCGGCTCAGAGCTGTTAAGGCATCAGTTCTGAGCTGCAGATCTTAAGAAAAATAACATGGTTGATGGGAATCTGGAAAAATGCAAAAATAGCGAAGAGATTAAAAATCTTGTTCTTCTAGGAAGGGTTAATAGAACTGGGTTTGCTTATTCTGAAAAATACTTGAGGGCCCAGTACCGGTATTCACATGTGTAGGAAGATGTTGGTTGTCCTTCATCCCCAGCTGAAAATTGAATCTTACCCTCCTCTTTCTGGACTTGCTTTGGATGACGTGATAAAACTCTAGATGCAGGGGGGGCTGAGCTCTGGGGCAGCTCACCCAGGAGAGTTGTGGAATTCCTCCCGTGGCACAGTGGGGGACAAGCAAGGCAAACCGCTGCTTTGGAGTAAGTGGGCAGGCCAACTCCTGAGATCCGCAGTTTTGCGGTGTGCCTTTAACAAAAAGATTTATATGCAGAAGGCACATCAGTACTTCAGATACGTACCCGAACAGGCTCACGTTGCTGTCCCATCCTACCACTGAGGTGACAGCCCCAGTGTGAGATGTGTGAGCTCTACAGCAACGGCCGCCCGAGATTGTGGGATCGGTTCAGTGTCAGGGTTTGACGTATCCTTTGCTGCTCCTCGTCTCAGCTGCCTTGCATTGTAGGCGCCGTACAGTTACAAGATACAGAGCTTGATTACAAGTCATTCTCACAATTTCCTGTCCTTGTATTTTCTACCTTTGATGTACACAAGTTGTTATTCCCTTCACATTCCCTGCTTCTTGGATTTTATAGCATCTCTTTTGGAGTCTTTTCTTTTAGACTGCTCCCAACATATGCAGAACTTGTGCCAGCTGTAGATCACTCTGCCAAACTGAGCACATGCTCCCAACATGCGGTTTGCTCGCCAAAGGAGCATGTGTCTGGAGGGAGTGTGGTAAGCGTTGTGATTTCAGCTGCAGGCTGAAGAATATTCCCTGCTAGGTGCCGTTCTGCGTTGCCCTGCTGGAGGGTGGGCTGTAGTGCTGACAAGGGATCAAGCAGCTGTCTCAAGAGAAAGGACATAGACCCCAGGTCTCAGCGTTCCTCTCCTTGTGCTCTTAGCAGATGGAGGAGCTTCACAAGGTGTTTATCAATACTTGGAGCAGTGACATAGCTGCCTCCAAAGTGGCACTATTCTAGCGGGTAGTACTGAGAGGGAGAAGGGAAGGGAGCATCTTGTGTCCGCCTGGAAGAGCCTACTCTGCAGACTGTTCTACTGCCCAAGCCTGCCACAGAGACAGACCCGTCAGAGTAAAGCCATGGATGTCATGGCAGAAGTTGATATAAATTGAGTGTTTGCAGACTGGGTCCAGTAGATGTTGCCCGTTATGTTTATTAAATTTTAAAAGAAGTTTTAATCTAGAGGGGAAGAGATTTCTTGGTGTTTTGTTAATGAAATGATAGATGTTGAAGGGACTTTAGTCCATCCTGTTCTGATCAGTTTTGCCGTAGAGAGTCAGGTAGGAATTTCACATGGCCCTCTTTTCTCTCCCCCTCCTGCTCGCTTTCCTTCTACTGCTCTCATACCTCTTTCACGTGATATGCATTGCAAATGAGTGCTAAATGAAAAGAAAATAAATCAACAGGTAAATAAACATCCACGTGTCCGTTATGAAAGCTTATAGTTTTGGTTTTTGGGTTTGTTTTTTTTTTTGTATTTATAGCCACATAGGAACTAATTATTAATAAAGATCTAAATCATGGTTTGTTTCTAAAGAAATTTTAAAAACCCCAGAGTTGTGTCTTTGCCTTTTAGCACTTTGATTCCCTCACTGAGCACGTCTGTCAGGAAGAGTTGGTTTTCCCTGGAAGTTTCCAAGGAAGCTATGCCACATGGAGCGGTGGTGATGGCAAATGTGGAGAACAGCTGCTGCTGGTCTGGCAGCAGACACCGGGGAATCGGTAACTTCCAGGGAGGGAAACAACCAAGTCAGTCCATGACAAGTCCAAGCCATCTGTGACCGTTTTTAGGGAGGGTGTTCTCTGATTCTCAGCCTTAGGGACGCTTGTACGCTTCTGGGACGTGATGTTTGCAGGTTTGGTGTGTCGGATAGCCGGTGTTTTAGCTCAGTGAGTAAGCTGGTTGGTTTGCCTCAGTGCAACCCTACGTTTTCTTGTCAGTGTACTGTCACAGGGCTGTAGAAGGAAATTTGCAGAGGTCGCTGGCTGGTAATCCCTACTTTTTCATGTAAGTTTTATGCCATCAATCTCAGTCTGAAGGTATTATTGACCACCGAATGGTAAAAGAGAACTTAATGTTTCCTTTACTCGATGTTATGGTTGGGTATTTTGGGGGAGTTCTCTTTTTGTTCTTTGAGTTCTTTTTGGAATGGGTGCTTTGGTTTAGGTTTTTTTTTTTTCCTCAAGAGAAAATAAAGTTATATTTCACCTTGTTAGTTGTCTCTTGCTAGTAGTAGACTCATCTTTTATATGCTTGTGAACTTTATTAGAGTTCTGCTTCTTTCAGCATTGTTGTCCATTTAATGTGAACAGGTGGGAAAATGCACTTTTTCCCGGAAGATCTTACTGAGGCCAGGCAACAAAGCAGCAGCCACCTGCATAAGACAGTAAAATGACACCCCGTCTTTTCAAAGTACCAAACAAACAGTTCTATTTAATTTTATAATTTATTTGGCAAACAAATAACCTTTGCTTAATATAAATCGTGAAATGAATTGAAGACAAGATAGCCTTACAGATTGGTAGTTCGCTCACCCTAGGAGTTTAAGAAAGCAAGCGGAGCAGGAACTTTGAAGCTGTGTTATACATCAGTACAGAACGTTCCGTGGTATCTTAACTATCCACAAAACATCACGTACGTTACTAGTAGCGGATGGTTACTTAGTAGATTTCCCATGTGTGCTATAGATTGAGCACATTATGGTATCTTTACGAGCACATTATGTTATCCTTAATTTTTCTTGCTGGTTTTGAACCTGTTTTTTTTTTTTTTTAATAGGTTTTTACAAAGTTCCAGTTGCATTAATTAGCTAAAGAATTTGTCCTGCCCACCGAGTTTAGCTTTGTAGAAGTGAACGACATAGCTACGTATTTGGTACTTAGAGTTTCAGTATGGATTTAGAAGCAGCATTTCCATTCATGCCGTCCAGATGAGCACATTAGTAGCAGAATGGCAGGAGGTTTTTTCAGAGTCCTGATGTCATGTACCTCATGAATGCTTCTTAAGATGATGTTTGTGATTTGCCCACTGGAGATTTTCAGTATTTGGCTACAGAATTTTTAGCTTCTAGATTTCGTTGGGTTGACGCACTCCAGCTATGTGAATGTTCTGAGTGGCTGTAGTATGCTTGGCAAATGTTAGGAAATATCTACTTATTTTTGGTATAAGCCCACGTGTTATAGCCTAAAGCGATGGAAAGCTCTCAACAGTGAACCAGGTAGCCATGGACCCGTAGTTGATTTGGGAAAACCGGTTCCCAGACAGCAAAGGCAGCCTGTTTTGTTACCACTGTGTCCTGTGAGCAGGACAGAGCATTTGTGAC